GAGGGTTTAGGGTTTATCACCCGTTTATTTGAGGGTTTAGGGTTAGCATTTAGGGTTCAGGGTTTAGGGGTTAGGTTTAGGGTTTGGGCTTTAGGGTTGAGGGTTTCGGGTTAGCATTTAGGGTTTAGGGTTTAGGGTTTCGCAATTCCAGGGCCTGCGCGGCCCAGGAAGGATCCCCAGTCTGTTGCCGCCTCGCAGGTCGGGCGGAGGGTTCCAGGGTCGAAGCCTGGACCACCCCCAAACCCTAAACCCTAAACCGTAAACTTTCGGGTTTAGGGTTTGAGGTTAAGGGTTTAGGGTTTAGGGTTTAGGGTTTAGGGTTTAGGGGTCTCAAGTCGATGTTGTCACCGATGCACTGGGAGGGGGGGCAGGGGAGGGGGCGGTTGAATTGCAATCAAACATCCTGAAGCCCTATACCCGAACCCTAAACCCTAAACCCTGAAATTCCCCTAAACCCTAAACCCCAAACCCTAAACTCTATACCCTAAATTCAGACTCATAACCCGATTTCTAACTCTACAACTCGCAGGAGGCAGGGCCAGGGAAAAACCCAATCTGCGCTTGTACCTTCCTGCTTTCAAAGCAGAGAAACCCTCAACCGGAAGCCCAAAAAAAGGCACTGAGCTACAGACCTAGGCCTCCTTTAGAACCCTAAACCCTAAACCCTAAACCCTAAACCCCAAACCCTAAACTTCTATGCGTCTTGGGGTCCTGGAGGATGTAGAAACTTGGGTCTTGCGGGCTGCCGGAGTTTGAAGGTCTCTGAGTGGGGTTCTAGGCGCATCTCGGCGCATCCTAGAAGGCCCCTGAGGCCAACACCTTGGATCATTTTCGGGGCTTAAGTGCGAAAGTGACCCTAAACCCTAAACCCTAAACCCTAAACCCTAAACCCTAAACCCTAAACCCTAAACCCTAAACCCTAAACCCTAAACCGGAAATCTAGACATGCAATTGGGGATGAGTTTGGGTTTCAAGGGTGTAGAGTTTACGGTCGCGGTTTAAGGATCTTGGAGCTTGAGCTGCTCATGCCAACTTGCTTCTTCACAGAAGCGCTCATTAATCTTCTTGGTACCCCAGTAACCATATTATAATAAGGGCACTCTTTTTTGGTTGGTTAATTTCTAAGGGAACATTAAGCCAAAGAAAGGGAAAGGGTACCACCGGGCTACCAAGTCTTAAATCTTTGGGTAGTTACAAGGTCCCTTAATATGGGCCCTTCAGAGAAGACCCCCTAAAAGCCCTTAAAAACCCTATGCAACCCTTTAAAGGAGGCAAGGGACCATATTAAGGGCCTATGTAACTACGTTTAGATTTCTAAGACCCCAACGATAACTCCTGTGACTTTAGAGCCCTAAACCCTAAACCCTAAACCCTATACCCTAAACCCTATAAACCCTAAACCCTACACCCTAAACCGCATCTGCGGCCTCCGATGTCATTGCCCCCTCAGAAGCTTCCGCAGCTGCCTCTCCGGCCAGCGTGGAACAAGGGGGGCCCGTAAGCACCATAATCTTACTTGGAGGTTCATGGTACGTATAGTAACCAACTGTATCTGTACTTGTAACTGTACATATAACCATATTAGGGCACTTAGTCTTGACTTCGCATTAATAAACCCCCCCCCCCCCCTTGATTGATCAATCTCTCCGGCCAGGGCCTCCTCAATTATATTCGCCTAAATCCTGGTAGGTCTAGCTGTCCCGGTGCCACCACAGTGGGCTAAGTGAGCCTCTACTGCGAGCCTCTGGGGATCACTTTTAGAAAAATATTCCGGGCTGGATTTTATAATTGTGGGGGGTTACATTATTGTGTTCCGGCAGCTGGATTTTACAATTGTAGCGGGAATCATTAATGTGAAGTCAACATTAAGGGGCTTCAAAGTGGGTTGTAAGTCAAGTTGTAATTAGCTAATAAGTACCATGAACCTCCAAGTATGCATCATCTTTTACACTCAAATATTGAACATAGTGCTTTTGTGTCTTAGTTCTCCACAATGAAGGCTGCTTGTATGCTAAAAAGCAGAGAGGTGCAAGTTACAGTTCGAGCTGTAACTTTTCTATGGCAGTACATATTTTCTTTATGCGTACAGGGATTGATCGAAGATATTGCAATAGGAGAATTGAGATCAACCGCCATAGGTACACGAGCGCAACAGCACCAGTAAGCTATCTGGCCCAAACAAAAGTGCGTTTGAATGAAAATAACATTTTAAGCCCGTATACCACAACTATGCGTCCAAACCCTTAACCCCCAGACCCTAGGCCCTAGGCCCGAAACCCTAAACCCTAAACCTTAAACCCTAAAGCCTAAAGCCTAAAGCCTAAAGCCTAAAGCCTAAAGCCGAAACCCTAAACTCAGGGCCTAGGCCGCCCCACTACAGAGGGGGGGCGGCGCCTAAGCCCTTCGACTTCGATGGCGAAAGCCAACCCAGGTCGTTCGCCCGCCTCCCGCAGCTCGGGGATCGGTAGCACCCACGTGCCCGGTACCGGAACCGTTCTCCTCGAGACCAGTACTGTAAGCACGCTAAACCCTCAAGTCATACTTCCTTGGGACGGGACCGGATCCTCCTGGCAGGACCCTCCTGGACCCCGCAAAGACTCCAGGACCTTTCCGTGACTGCCACCTGACCCTAAAACCTGCCTGGGACCCCGCAAAACCTTCCTTGGACGCCTGGACCCTCCTTCAAACAACCCCCTGACACGAACGTCCTGAAACAGAAGAAGTTTTTAGAAGTGGACTCTTGTCTGAGTTTAGGCCTAAACCCGAGTAGGAATAGGTCTGGGTGGCTTGCCGCCTCGGACGCGTGGGGTGGCACGGCCAAAACTGCTCTTCGCGCCTCACGAAGCTGTCGAGCTTGTGTTCTAAAGCCTCACCTTCACAGCATCTACGCCTTATCAAACCCTAAACCCTAAACCCTAAACCCTAAACCCTAAACCCTAAACCCTAGCAACTGCCCAGGAGGCAGCCTCGCCTTGTAAAGCAGATTCGCCAGCGCCGCGGTGACTAGAATCCTCTGGGGGCGCAGGCCCAGGTAAAGGAACCTGTAACCCTAAACAAACCCTAAACCCTAAACCCTAAACCCTAAACCCTAAGTAGAAACCCTAAACCCGAAACCCTAAATCTGCGGCCTGAGAAGACATCTTTGGGCTCTTGTTTAAGAACTTAACGCCCAGTTTCAAGACAAAATGGCTACTATACTGCTTACTTTATCACGTCAGTATGGGTAACTTAAGTTTCTAAGCAAGACGCCGGGATTTGTGGCTCTGGATTTCAGGGTTGGGGTTTTAAAAAGGGGTCCGAGGTGCTATTTTTAAAATGTTATTGTGTTCAGGGTGGTTGTCGAAGCCTCGACATTTGGGCTTAGGGTTTGGAGTTTAGGGTTTGGGGTTTAGGGTCTGTGAGGTCCTTACAAAATAACGCCATTCGGGCATTCCGCGAACTTCCGTTTTTTTAGCCCACGGAATCTCTTGCGAAACGTTGGGCCCCTGGACCTCAAACCCCACCAAACCCTAACTTAGGGTTTAGAGTTTGTTCAGCGCTTAGCCTCTAGGAACGCCTAAACCTTACACACCCTAAACTCCAAAGCCCAAAGTCGTAAATCCACTAGGTTGGTCCATTAAAAACTCTGAGAAATAGTGGAGCATCAAGACCTAGTCCGAAAACCAATCCTACCTCAGAACGCTCTCGAAAGCTTCTGACCCTTCAGCTCCACTCCCCGAAATACCCTATAAACCCTAAACCCTAAACCCCAAACCCCAAACCCTAAACCCTAAAACCGAAACCCTAAACCCCAAACCCCTCCCTCAGCCCGCGCGGTCCATGGGTTGCCCTCATTGTTGGCACCATAGCGATCCGCCTCGTCGCTGCTGCGGGGACGTCGGAGGGTTGTGTTTTTATTCGGGGCCTTTTGGGGCGGTTGGGGGTGTTGGGGCTGTAAGGGTTCGGGGTTTCACCCCTAAACCCTAAACCCTAAACCCTAAACCCTAAACCCTAAACCCTAAACCCTAAACCCTAAACCCTAAACCCTAAACCCTAAACCCTAAACCCCAAACCCTAAACCCTAGACCCTAAGGGTTGGAGGCGCTCCAGGCTTCATGGCGAAGAAGCTGACTCGGGTCTTTAGCTTTCACAGGCAGGTTGTAAACAGCCAAGGGCCGAGCATTTAGGGTTCAGGTTTTGAGGGGTTTTAGGGTTTTAGGGGTTTTAGGGGTTTTAGGGTTTTAGGGTTTTAGGGTTTTAGGGTTTTAGGGTTTTAGGGTTTTAGGGTTTTAGGGTTTTAGGGTTTGAGGGGTTTTAGGGTTTTAGGGGTTTTAGGGTTTTTAGGGTTTTAGGGTTTTAGGGTTTTAGGGGTTTTAGGGTTTTAGGGTTTTAGGGTTTTAGGGTTTTAGGGTTTTAGGGTTTTAGGGTTTTAGGGTTTTAGGGTTTTAGGGTTTTAGGGTCTTAGGGTCTTAGGGTCTTAGGGTTTTAGGGTTTTAGGGGTTTTGGGGTTTTAGGGTTTTAGGGTTTTAGGGTTTTAGGGTTTTAGGGTTTAGGGCCGGTTTAGGGAGGCAGAACTTCTGACAGGGCCCCCAGGGCCCAGGGGGTTTCTCCAGAATTTCCCCCCCCCCCCCCCGCGAGTTTCCGGGCGGCCGCGCGTTGTGAGTCGTTGCTTTCCTAGCTTTGTTGCGGGCTTTTGTTTCTCTGTTGTCATGTTCCGCAATGGGCCTGCACTTGCAGAAAGCAGGTCTGTGTCTGGCTGATTTTGTTTCGAGGGTTTTGGAGGTTCATCGTCAGGTGGTGGTGGGCATGATGCTGCTCTTGTTCGGCAAGGCATGCGCGTAATTCGTATGTGCGGTGCTTGGAGGTTCAGGGTCGCTTAAAGCCCCCGAAGTCCCCGGCATCCTCGAAGTAGGTGAGAAGTGGGCTTATAACTGGGGGGTTCTGGGGTTACAAGTACCCATGAACCTCCAAGTGGGGGCCTGACACAGCGTTTTTCAATCCAGTCTGCTTGCGCTCACGGCCTCGTAGCGGCCGAAGAGGACACCGGGAACGCCCTGACACGGAACCATCATGAGCCAACAGAAACCCTACTTGGAGGTTCATGGGCACCCATAAGGAGGGTTATAAGTAGCCTAAATAAGGCTATAACCATAGGTACCCTACTTATAACCCTACTTATAAGTACCCAGAAACCTCCAACTAGTGCGCCTTTTTTTGGTGGTTACTCTGATAAAGCGGCCCCCCCAATGCCCAAAAAGGGACCATATTTTTGAGAATTGACCATATTGTAGACCCGACACCTGGACGCCGAACAAAACTCTCTAAGCACAATGGACAGGGTTTAGGGTTTAGGGGTTTAGGGGTTTAGGGGTTTAGGGGTTTAGGGGTTTAGGGGTTTAGTGGTTTAGGGGTTTAGGGGTTTAGGGTTGACAGATTTGCCGAAAGAAATGCTGCAGGCTTGGAGGCCCCCTCTCAGACCTCCTCCGTGTCCTTGCGATTGATCGGATAGATCCGGCAGAACCTCACGGCTGCACAAGTCGAGGGACCTTTTTGAAGGATCTCCTTTTTCTAAGAGGCCCTTAAAACCATCTCAAGCTAGACCCGGGAGTAACCTAGGAATAAAAGTACCCTTTTTGGTGTTAAGGGGATTATAAGGGAGCCCCAACCTTAAAAAAACAAGGGCCCACTCCCGGTCCTAGCAAAAAAACATTCTTGAATATGATCCTAGTAAAGGGAACATATAAAACATCCCAAGGGCCTACCTAGTTTTGAGAGGGGGGGGGGGGGGACCTACAAGACCTACTACAATGAGGATTAAACCCTAAACCCTAAACCCTTCACCCCTGATCTCAGCCTCGACAAAAAACGCCGAACGAATGCTGAAGTTGCAACACTTTGCCTGCAGGGCCCTTTGTAGGGAATGAGCCGTATATCCCCAAACCCTAAACCCTAAACCCTGAACCCTAAACCCTCTATTTACCCTTCAAGGGCGTATTTACAAGGGATTATGCCGGAACTAGCAAGCTGAGCCTTCCAAACCTCAACCGTCATACCCTATAGACCTGAACCTTTTCAATCTTGGTTTAGGGTTTAGGGTTTAGAGCGCCTCCAAGGGGGGCCTTCTTTTTTGGCGGGTCCTATGCAATCGAAAGGTTCTGCTAGATCATCTTGGGATCCTGCGACACGCAATCCGTAGCCTGTCATCTTTTCTCCCCACGTATGCTGTGACCTTCAGCTACCAGTACCACCCCTTCTTATCTGCAGCCTCTGCACTTCCAGCCCTACACCAGAATATCCTCTGTACTACAGCCTAACATAGACAAAATCTCCGAAGCCTGTCCATTCCTACACCTACTTGGATACTTCTTAACCAATTATAACTGTACTGAAAACCCGCTTATAAGCCCCTTAAGTGCCCTAACATGCTTAGAAGTACAGCTATAAGTACAGTGAATCTGGTTAATGAGTACCCTGAGAAGCCTCTTGCGGGCCACGGCACATCTCCGCGAGCCGCAGCGCGCTCCGCGCTGCCAAGGCGGATCCCGGAGACGGCAGCTTGGCGTTGCTCCCACGGAGGTGGGCATCTCGCAGGGAAGCATTCATACTTCCGGTGTTGCGAATGCGCGAATATGCGAATGTGTGAGAATGTTGAAAAACTGCGCATGTCTGAACGTGTGAATGTGCGAATGCGTGAATGTGCGAATGTGTGAATGTGTCACACGGGTGTGGCTCTGTAACTGTGTGAATTTGTGACTGTGTGAATGTGTGAAATATGGGTGAAAGGTGTGAAATGTGTGAAATATGTGGGAAACGTGCGGGCGCGGGCGCGGGGGTGTGCCTGTGCCTGTGCCTGTGCCTGTGCCTGGGCGTGGGCGTGGGCGTGGGCGTGGGCGTGCGTGTGCCTGTGCGTGTGCGTGTGCGCGTGCGTGTGCGTGCGTCCTTGTGTTAGGACGACGGTGTGGGAAGGGGCGGGAGGGGGTGGCTTTGGGGCTGAAGGTTTTGGAACATTCAGCCAAGTTGCAAAGATTTCCACAAAGAATTTCGCTCAGGCAGTTTGTGCAGGCCCACAGGCCCTCAACCCTAAAGCCTAAAGCCTAAACAAAACCATAAACCCTAAACCCTAAACCCTCCTAAACCCTAAACCCTAAACCCTAAACCCTAAACCGGTGGCTCCAGCAGCTTGAGGTTGACACAGGGTTTGTGGAAGAGAACAGTCGCTTCTTTCTCGGAAGCTCGAAAAGACTCTCGACGGCCCACACTCCGGGTCTTTGTCCACCGCTTCTGGGCCTGCAACCCCTCGAACGCAGGTTTAGGGTTTAGGGTTTAGGGTTTAGGGTTTAGGGTTAAGGGTTAAGGGTTAAGGGTTCAGGGTTCAGGGCTTAGGGAACAATAAGGCTTGCTAACCCAGACCATCCATCCCTAAGCAGACTTTAACATCTGCAAGGTACAGAAGCCACTTCTTCGTGCTGAAACCCGTACAGGTCCATTTAAAACCAAATTAAAACACGAGAGGGGCGCTCATTCTGAGCATGAAGCCACAATGTGCTGGCATCACGAGAAGAATCATTAAAAACAAGAACCGGCCATATGGGGGTTTCCGAAGATGGGGGTACCCTTTTTGCGGGTTCCTTCAAAAAGAACTGTATAGTATCTTGGGGTACATAAGGGGTACCCCGTGTTTCCCCCATATGGTCATCTGAAGAGTCTCAGTCCCTAGAGTCGCTCACCCGTGGGGTTTAGGGTTTAGGGTTTAGGGTTCAGGGTTAGGGTTTAGGGTTTAGGGTTTAGGGTTTAGGGTTTAGGGTTTAGGGTTTAGGGCTAGCGCCAGGGTGCGTTGGAAAGCAGCGCCTGTTGGGACGCAGTCAGGGGACTCCAGCATGCCGCAAGGTTTTCTGGGTCACAGAGCTTGCAGTCCTAATTTTGTGGTTTAGGGTTTAGGGTTTAGGGTTTAGTTTCAGTTCCTAAGCAGCAAGCAGGGTTGCCTGTTCCAGAGCAGCGCAGCCAAACCCATGGTACCTGAGCAGAAAATGGCTCCGATGGCTGCGTCTGGCAACCAACGCAGGAGAAACCTGGGCAGATGTCTAGGGTTTAGGGTTTAGGGTTTAGGGTTTAGGGTTTAGGGTTTAGGGTTTAGGGTTTAGGGTTTAGGGTTTAGGGTCTAAAACCTTGGGACCTTTTGGAGGCTCGGGCCTGCGTGGTCTAGGGATCCTTTTGAGGTGGATTCTGCTGGATTCTTGAGTCATGCAGGGGGACCCTATGCTTTTGGGGTTTGGGGTTTAGGGTTTAGGGTTTTAGGGTTTAGGGTTTAGGGTTTAGGGTTTTAGGGTTTAGGGTTTAGGGTTCCCTCCCACCTGAACAGGGTCTCTTCGAGAGCTGCGATGCACACAAAGAGGCAAACACCGAAACACACCAGCAGCAGTGACACCAGCTTATCCACACACCTCGGCCTTCTCGACCTGCGCAAGAGGTGGGCCATCGTGTACAAGCTCAAGAACAATATCGGGACCACGCCTAGCCAGTAGGCAAAGCCGCGTAGCAGCAGCCATATGCCCGTATCGACGTTCCCATGACGAATTGGCCCAACAGAAAAATCGAGAAATACCCACAGAATGCATGGGGAGGCTTCAACGACGCGTCGGTAAGAGACCAGTGCCGTTGAGAGGTGACTTTTCAACACGTCCAGCACCTCGGTCCGAACGCTCCTCTCGAATTCATCAACACATCCGAACCAACTGCAGATGCACTTTCGCACAACTGCGCGGTCACAAATCAGTGGGGCACCAGAGTCCGGATCAACGTGGCCAACGGAGCAACACCAGGCCACAGCGTCGTCGAACCGAAAATTCTGCAGCTCGTGCGACAAATTCTCGACTTCTCTGCAATACCGGCGAGTTTCTTCGGCAATACTGAAGAAGACCAGCGCCGCGATGGATGCCAAAATCAACCAAAATGGCAAATAGAAGGATGGGCCCATTCCCTCAAGAGAGAAATGGGCAGAGACGTACGCGCCTCCACAGGCCAAGATCAATGCGACATTCCCAGCTGCCATCAGAGGACCCAGGAGCGTTGGGTAGATGATTAGGTCAGGCTCTCGGTGGCTGTGCAAGAAGGCTGCCATCTCGAATGTACACCACAAGCCTCATCTGCTTTTTCTTTTTTTTTTTTTGGGGGGGGGCCCCTCAGTATGACAAGGGGGTGCTTCTTAAAAACCTTAGCAGCAACCAGCAACACTGAAAGCGCTTGCGCTCTTGGTCTGGATGCGCTGTTGATAGGTCTTGTCCCAAAGAACAAGCATTGAGTCCGAACTCTTGAGGATGGCGCCCATGCTGAAGAGGCCCTCTGCCTTCAGCTTCTCCGAGTCACTGATGCACAGCCTATCCACAAACACAGCCTTCTGCCGCCGCCAGAATATGAAAGCTAGAACATGTGTCATCAAAGCGACCACAAAGCAGCAAGGCACTGCCCTCACGGACAAAGTCGAGACAATGTGTTCAAGGCTTGGTACTCGGGACACCGATAAGAACATGGTGACACAGAATGCCAGTGTGGCGCTAAGGGCCGCGGCTGCGGTAGCGTTGTGAATGAAGTAGAGCGTGATGACCTTTGCCCACGTCGAGCCATGCCAGCTATGTGACCAGAACTGCATCTTGTGTGCTGGTTGGCTTAGGGTGTAGTAGTCACTCTCAACTCCACGGAAGGCAGCGCCGAAACTTCTCATCGCTTGGAAGACACGTACGGACCGCACGATCTCTGGTTGCGTGGCCTTCATGAGGGACAGGATCTCGGCGAGCTTCTCTGTGAAATCCTCGTGGAGGAAGGCGGTCGCGTCCAAGCTGCTGCCCATGTCTGCAGAGCTGATCTCGCCTGTCCGCTCTGCATCCGGGTCATCTTCACTGCCTTTGCCTATACTCGCCTTAAAACCTACATAAAAATAGTCTTTTTAATATCCTCTTGATTTTATACAAGAAAAAAATATTATTAAAAAAAAACATTTCTCAAGGGGGAGGTAGTTGCTTGCGGAATCCAAGGACACCTTTGGAGCCCATTCGTCGCCGTGGAGATCCATGTGTCCAAGGTGCGGGATGAGGGTTGATGGTCTAACGCTAACCAACCCCTACAGCTGACATATACTAAACCCTAAACCCAGTTTAGGATCTAGAGTCGGAAATTTCGGATGGCTTCACCCTAAACCCGATACAGCTTACATACTCAACCCAGAACCCAGTTTAGGATCTAGAGTCGGAAATTTCGGGGAAGGAGAACTACTTGGAGGGTATCCATAGCGGCAGAACCACGACTTGCCTGAGGGGACTACCAACTGGTTGGCTTATGGGTGAAGTATTGCAGAAAACACCAACTGCAACTAAACAGCAGCGGCCAAACGGATAGTTCTCCAGGTTGTGGTTGCTGGCGCGCATGACGAGCCCTGCAAACCTATAAACCCTACAGCCAACCCTATAAACCTATAACACCCACACTCAACACATGCTTATTCGAAATACACCCCAAAATGGTCCCTCCTTTTCTGAACCCCCTCATGATTTGCCCGCCCAGCCTACGAACTTTCTGGTCTGCGCATGGACCAGACTCAGGATGATCGCGCCATCCAGCGCCTTGTCGTACCTGGAGGAAGAGGGAGAGGGGGGGGGGGCTTTCGGAGAGAGCTGGACCTTTCGGGTTGGGGGCTAACGTGAGCCTAGTTCAGGGCTTCAGTAGTAAGGGCTTGGGCCATGAAGTACGAGTGCCCGTGCCTCTGGCACTCTGGTCCAGGGTTCTCGGTCGGGCAGTTGGTCAGAAAGCTTGCACCTGCCAGTGGCGTGCAGTTGCCACGCTTTTGCAGACATGAAGCCGCTGTGAAGCAGCATCCTAGCCTTGAATCAACAAACGTGGGTGCAAAGGTAGTCAAAGCATGAATTCTACACTCATCTATCGCAATTCCACTAGTGGTAAGTCTTGCTACACTGCTCTAAATCCCACAACGCCGAATGCAAAAGTCCCTCCACTGCCCGACCCTGCAATCAAAGTTGGCAGAGACCTACCGGTCGGTGCCTTCTGTCCCATCGATGTGATTCCTCGTTTTCGGGGGTTCATAGGAGGGTTGACCCTCGGTCAGTTCGGACTGAGTGAGAATGTTAAGGGGTGTGGGAGGGAGGGTCTCTGGGGGGAAGGGGGGGAAAGATGGGGGAGGGAGGGCCACATGTACGCCACACGCAACTTCTTTCCATCCAAGGGGCGCTGTGGGTGGCAGCCCTGCAGCCACTGTGGCGAAACGCTCGGCGCGCTTTCTGTCGCCCTGGGAGAGTCGTCATGGGCTCCAACAGCCCTCAGTGCCCTCAGTAGGCTTTGAAACCCCGTACTGCTCATGCTACTGCTCATGCTACTGCTAGTGCTACTGCTCATGCTACTGCTAGTGCTACTGCTCATGCTACTGCTAATGCTACTACCATTACAAGTTCAAGTGAACTACTAGTGCTTCTATCTCATTATTGCCATTGCTAACTTCACATGGACTACTAAGTTCCGTGGCCTCACAGCTGTAACAGGAATTATTACAAGGGCTGTTCGGGCTTGTGTGTGGCTAGAAAGGGACAAACTGAATCTACGGGAATACCTTGCCAAGAGAACCGCAAAATAGCCCTAAACCCTAAACCCTAAACCCTAAACCCTAAACCCTAAACCCTAAACCCTAAACCCTAAACCCTAAACCGACCTAGACGAGCCTGCTGTATCGCGAAGGCCTGCCCTTCCACCAAAGCGCTGTGAGTCACCTGATCAGTCTGATTTGGGGTTTAGGGTTTAGGGTTTAGGGTTTAGGGTTTAGGGTTTAGGGTTTAGGGTTTAGGGTTTAGGGTTTAGGGTTTAGGGTTCCGAGATTTGCAGTCAAGTTGGTACTAAAAGGTTCATGGATAATCTACAGTAGGAATGTAGGTCATATGCACCGTTTAATTCATTAATGGTGGTCTCTGGCCCAGAAAACCTCCATGGGTAAAGCCTGGGGTAACCCCGCAAGCCCTGCATTCACTAGGTGTCCTGAACAATCCCTTAATTGAAGGGGCTATATAGGATGGTGTAAGGTACCCAATTCCCTACGGCCCTAAAGCCTAGGCCCTAAACCCGAAACCCGAAACCCTCAACCCCAAAAAGAAGGGGAATAAGGGCCTATATACTCACCCTTAAGTCGTGGTGTGCAGCCCAGCCGCGGCCCGATTCCAGAGAAAGTCACGGCCCCGAGTCTCCTCCCAGAGGTCACACCTGGTTGTTCGGGCTTTTTTAGGGTTTAGGGTTTAGGACTTCTAGGGTTTAGGGTTTAGGGTTTTACTTCTAGGGTTTAGGGTTTAGGGTTTTGTTGGGGAGGCAAGGGGTTATGGGTTTCGGGTGTAAGGATTTTTGAGGCTCGGGGTTCTGGGTTTGGGGGTTTAGGGGTCTTGGGGCTAGGGGTCGGGGCTCGGGGTGTCTTCAGGGTAGCAGGCTTCTAATGGACGATACTGCGAAAATGTTCACTCCATATGTCACGATCACCTGTTAGGCCCTAACAACCCCCGAAACCCTGAATTGCACTAAGCCAGCAACTCACCCCCCACTACCCCAGCTCCAGGCCCTATATCAAGCCCCGCAAACCCGCAGTCCGACAAACCAAGAGGCCCTATGCGCCCAATAAGCCCTTGCGCAGGGTTTCTTGTACTGACCGTAGACCCTAAACCCTCAACCCTAAACCCGAAATCCTAAACCCTAAACCCTACACCAGGGGTTTTGTCTGGGTTTCGAGCTGAAGGTTTTGGGGTTTACGTAAACAGGGTTTAGGGTTTAGGGTTTAGGGGTTTAGAGCTTAATATAGGGGTCGAAATACTTACTAATCATATACCCTGATAGTCCCTCTTATAATGATACACAAGAACCCCTAAAAACCCTACTCTAACCCAAAAATATACCCTAATAGTCCCTCTTATCATGAGTTACTACAAGAACCCCAAAAACCCTACTCTAACCCCCCAAAATAGATGCAGGACCCAGCCAAGATGCCCCTCGAGTGCCGGATTCGCTGCCAGCCAATCGAGGTCGATAGTGGCCAGCTGCCAAAGATCTTTGGACAAGCTCCTCTGGAGGACCCTAAGCCCTAAGCCCTAAGCCCTAAGCCCTAAACCCTAAACCCTAAACCTTACACCCTAAACCCTAAACCCTATCGCCTTCACATAAACGTTTAAGCTTTAGGGTACAGTCCACTGAAGCCTCCCACTCAAACCCGAAGGCCTAAAGCACTTCATTCCCCTGCAGCCCTAAACCCCAACACCTGAAACCCTGCAGCCCTAGAACCCTAAAACCCGAAACCCTGCAGCCCTAAAACCCTGAACCCGAAACCCTGCAGTCCTAAAGCACCCCAAAGCCCTAAAACCCTAAAGTCCCATTTCGAACAATACAAGAGCCTCAACAATTAGAATAAGGTTTTGGGGTTGCTATAGTATTTTTAAAGGGACCATCAGAATACCATTCGACATTCTTCCGACCCCCATATGAAGTAGGGTTTATATTTCTTGTATCCCAAAAAAGGCCACCAAGTATATACACTCACCAATATCAAAAAAGGAACCTTGTATACACTCACCATAAGCAGTAATATAACCCCTGCTTCAATATTTAGGTACCCTAAACCCTAAACCCTAAACCCTAAACCCTAAACCCTAAACCCTAAACAAAACCCTAAACCCTAAACCCTAAACCCTAAACCCTAATATATACCCTGCTTCATAGGACCCCATTTGCGCCAGGGCTCGGGAGGGCATCCGCAGCGCGGAGCAGTGCCAGCGCACGCAGCCCGGGACCTGAGGTTCAGGTTCAGGGCTGAAGGGTTTAGGTTTAGGGTTTAGGGTTTAGGGCTTGGGGTTTAGGGTTTAGGGTTTAGGGCTATAGGTTTTCGGGTTCAGGGTTCAGGGCTTAAGTAAGGTTTCATTCTGCACCCTCTTTCGTGTGTTCACCCCCCCCCCACCCCCCTGAACAGTCGAAGCTGACTTTGTCCAGGATTCTGTATGACATTAAATTTAAAAGGGATGAGTGTACGTGATTGAACGGGGCAGAGAGGCGCGGCAATTGATGCTAAAGGCGCGCCGCACGACACTTTCTTGTGGCACCCGGGAGACTTCACTTAATGGGGGATCCCACGAGCGGAGCACCCCCAAACAGTGACGAACAGCCCAGTAAACTAGACGTACACAGGGTGCAACGTTAGGGTTTAGGGTGGACCCCAAACCTCCCAAACCCCTCAGCCCGAGCAGCCATCCGTCTGCGGTCTGCACCATCCACCTCCAGGGTCTGACGGCCACTGGGGTCTTGGGGTTCAGGGAGCTTTTTTGCGCGGGGTGAGAATGGCTTGAGACTTCACGGGGTGTTTCATCCCAGGGGCTGAACTTCAGAGTATTCAAGGTTTCGCGCCGAAAAAGGTAAAGACTTGCAGGGTTTTGGTCGATGCAAGGTTTCGACTCGGCTTGCGGGTTATAAGGTTTAACCTTTGGCAACCCGCGGGGAACCCTGCCTGAATTAAGAACCGACAGAACCTACTTTTGTGGTTGAAACTACGTACTGCGAAAAAAGACCACCTATAGGATTCTTTTGGTCACCTACTTTTTATAGGAAGGTAGACTCCACACATCTCCACACTAACGAGGGTCATGTTGGGGACCCTAAACTCTAAACCCTGAACCCTAAACCCTCAAGCCAGGTGGGGGGGGGGGGGGGGGGGGCGCCTTCGTAAGGCTCGCCGGCGAGCGTCCACTTCGGCTCCAGAAAGGACTCCTCATGGCTGATTGGCTGAGTTGGCGTGTCAAGTTTAGGGTTTAGGTTGGGATGCTCCCCCTTATACTAACAGTCCTTAATAGGGAATCTAGTACCCCGTAGATAGAAGGGGGAACATCCCAAGGTTTAGGGCTTCAGGTTTAGTGGGCTGCGGGTATACGGTCTCAGGTTCGGGTTTAGGGGTGCGGTGCAGGGTTGTATTGGGTTCAGGGAGGGCTTCCGAAGTTTCAGGGGGTACCTTCTCGGAGGCCCTTCTTACGAAGGAAGCCGACTCTTTAGGGGTTGGTGTATTTGGCGTCACCCATGATCGTAAACTCCACTTCAGCCAACAGACACTGCCTCTACGACGTTGGGCCACAGTTCGGGGTGAAACGCTTTGGCAGCTACGTGGAGAACGTCGCCAGCGCAGGAAGGAGGTGGTGGTGATGGTGCTTCCTTGCCAGGTCTTCTGGCAAGTCCCCGCGATCATTCGGGAGATGCTCAGCCCCCTGGTCCAAATAAATCTTGGTGAACTGCCCGTGACCGATCCTTGGTGGCCCAGTAACCATATCATTATAAGGGCACCCTTTTTTTTGGGGTTGGTTACGTCATAAGGGAACCTTGAACCAACAACCCTCCACCCTAAACCCTAAACCCTAAAAGGGTACCACTGGGCTACTAAGAATCATGGCTGCGTAGCCCAGGGGTGTAATGCCACGCACCGAAGCTCGCCACCGCGTGGACACGCTGCAGTTTGAATAGCCTTGGTAGCCCAGTAACCATCTTCCAATAAGGGTACTCTTTTTGGGGTTGGTTGCTGTATTATATAGTTTTGGTTCAGGGTTTAGGGTTTAGGGTTTAGGGTTTGGGGTTTAGGGTTTAGGGTTTAGGGTTTAGGGTGTAGGGTTTGCGGTTTGGGGTTTAGGGAACGGAACCTTGAACCACGAACCACCAAAAAATGGGGCTACCAAGTAACCCAACAAGGCGACTTTGGCCTCGGCTTTCCGACAGTCCCAGTCTGCCTGTCCTTCTGGCAGGAAGCGCGCGTTCATGTCCTTGGGGTTTACAGGGTTTAGGGTTTATAGGGTTTAGGATTTTGGTAGCCCAGTGACATAGGGGGGCCTTAATAATTAGCATAGGGTTTTGGGGGTCTGCGGGCGAAAGCCTGTCGAAGTCAATAATTAAAGAAGATGTCATCTGCATCCTCAGCAATAGCTCAGAGCACTGAACAGATCTACAACTTGCTGCAGATGGATTGCAGCAGTAAAAGCATTGCATCATATTTCTGTGACCAAAGGTCCAGAGTCTGTACAGGAATATCATGCGACTTAGGACATCTACGTGTGAGATTCCTAGGTTCAATCGAGTAATTAAGAAGTTTCTTGCAGCAAGCACATTCTTCAGCAGGAGCCCACACAGGTTCAAGCACATGTGTGCGGAAGTCATTTTCAAGAAGCTGGCTCTGTTTGAATCTTTCAAGGCAGTCCTTAAACCTGGCAAGTCTTTTGCAAGCGGCATTGAAACGCTTAAGCGGTCCAGGCTTAGGTGGAAGGGCACCACGAATTTCTTGCGCACTTATAGAATTCCATTTTTCAAGTGTGACATGGGTGATGCAAGGGATGTTTTTGTGAACCCCTTGATTGCAATCATTACGGAGATCAAAAATCTGATCAGCCCAAGGAAGACAACCTGGGGACAGGCCAATCTTTACACAGCGGAATGGTCATAAGGCTTGCGCTAACAGTTCCAACCGCATTACAAAATTGGACAGGGGTAATGCGGAGAACCTGCGAATTAACACAATCCGACAGACGAGCATCAGCATAGGGTTTTGGGGGGGGGTTCTTATAGTATACTTATAAAGGGGACCATAAGGGGATAATTGCTCCTCATGTCCTTGGTGGCCCAGTACCCATATGGGGGTTTCCGAAGTCCGGGGTACCTTGTTGGGGTCCTTAGTAGAAGGGAATCCTACTGTTCGGGCTTCTATTCTAGGGGTCCCTGATTTTCCCTTGTTTGAACTTGTTTGGGTTGGTTACTTTATAAGGGAACCTTGAACAAACCACGGGAAAAAGGGCACCACCGGGCCAGCAAGTGTCCGCGCGATGTTTCAGCAGTAGTTCCAGGGTTTGCCCCGCTCGGTGGTTCCCGCGTGAGAGTATGCAAAAAAAATGCAAGGGGCCGGTTCGGCTGAATTCACCACGGCCTGGATCACCTCGATAATCAGCTGAAGGCGATTTCGGGCTTGGGGCAAAACCCTAAACCCTAAACCCTAAACCCTAAACCCTAAACCCTAAACCCTAAACCCTAAACCCTAAACCCTAAACCAGTTGAGGGCCACAGCTTTGGTGCAACCTGAACCCTAAACCCTGAACCCATAAAGAAAACGTAGCAGTGGCCGGTGAGTTTAGGGTTTAGGGTTTAGGGTTTAGGGTTTAGGATTTAGGGTTTAGGGTTTAGGGTTTAGGGTTTAGGGTTTAGGGTTTAGGGTTTAGTGGCCGGTGACCAAGAGCAGCCATGTCACATCGGCATTCGAGAAGTGCCTGAACTGTCTCAGGGGAGGCATATGCAGCAACACCACTGAGGGTCCAATGAAGCACGTCTGCGCGGGATTCATGCAGCAGCTTCACATGATCCGGAGATCGACACATGAACATGGCGGTCAGACCCGTCCGGGAAAACGCATTCACATTAGCGCGAAGCTCAATCAGCGTCGCCAACACGGATGGCTCCTGTTTAGACTTGGTTGCCGCCATAAGCGCAGTTTGTGTATCGAAGTACCCCAAGTCACTCATACCCTCGAGGGTGTGGTTCATATCTGCTTGGTTCTCGGCCAACAATCGCAGCATGCCCGTGTCGCCAGAGAAAACCGAGCACATCACCGCATTCATGCTGCTTCGGTCTCGTGCTGCCTCTAGCAAGCTGTCATAGCGGAAGTCGTGTAGAAAAGTCTTTAAGTCACGAAGCAGACTTGGTTTACACAGGAGTTTGGGCCGCATGGCAGTGTAGAAGCGATGGCGGCTCAAGGGGCCATGGGCCTGCAGGTGTTGGAGCTTGCTTTCCACTGCCATCACAGCGAGCTGGACTACTTGAGCCCGGTCGGCCTCCACCGTGAAATCCCCCTCAGCAATGCTGTTGTTCTGCCAGTCAATGCCGAACATGAACTTGGCGTCCGTGGCCGAGTACACAACGATGACAGAGGTATCTTCCTTGTTGGACAGCAGCCGACACCACAGCTCTGCTCGACACCATCCTCGGATGGATGGCCCTTAAACCATCTGAAAAACACAAACCCTAAACCCTAAACCCCAAACCCCAAACCCTAAACCCTAAACCTTAAACCCAACAAGGGGAAAGAGATGAAATCTCCCACAAGGGCCTACCGAGCATCCGCGGGAGAGCCACGTCGCGTAATTTACACACGCCGAGTTTGCATGCACAAGCTCTGGCACAAGGGCGATGAACATGTTGGAGAGCTCGACGTACCTAGTTCATGGTTGGGACAGTACCTAAAAATCAAATTTCTATTTCTTATTGGGTTTAAGTACCCCGAAAAATGTAAAATGTTCCCCAACTATGACAAAGGTACGCCGGAATACTCTGCACAGCCAGTGCCGCATCGCTTTTCGTGGCTTCTTCATTGATCCCATGCTGGCGTGCTGTGATCTGTGGTATGGCAAACCTATACTCCCCTTAGAACCTTAACAAAACTAACATTTTTAATATCCTCTTGGGTTTTATCTACACAAAGATCGAAAATCATTCTCAAGGGGGATATAGAAACCAGTCAAAGAAGACGAAGCCATCAGCAACGTAGCGACGCACATTTGACGCCAGGCCTTGCTCGGACCAATAGACCCCGATGTGATCATCCTGAACGATCAGTGATCCTTCGATGATTCCCTGCAGGGCCTTCTGCAGCAACGCAAGTTGCTGTCCATGTGGGTCTGGGTGGGCTGAGCTGAGCCACTGGTGCGACACGAAAATGACGAACATGCGTGGGTACCATTGGTGAAGCAGACCCCGCTCTTGCAGTCTGTGGTGGGGCTCTGGTGGACCTTCCATCTGCAGGAGATCAGAGACTTTCACGGCCCACAAGGGAAAGTAGCACTCGTGCACGGTAGACTGCGCTCTGCATGCAATCTGATCCTCTGGCGCGCACAAGGATGATCCCATGGCTCTGAAGGGACTCGTGGTTTTGGGCTTGTTTAGGGTTTAGGGTTTAGGGCTAGGATTTAGTTGGCTTTTGCAGATGGGGAGCTTCCTTTAACAATCAGCTCTTTTCTGGGGAATTACAATACGAAGCCTGGACCATGATTTCGAGAACTGCCCCAAGTAGTGTACAGGGCTTGTAAGGTTTTGGGTCGGATGGAGGGGGTTCAGGCGCCATCATACCCTGAACCCACAAAGTCCAAAACCCCAAACCCGACAGACCCAAAGACTGAAGGCCCCAAACGCGCTGGGAATCCGGAAGCCCGTGAAACAAAACAGGTTAGGTTTAGGGTTTAGGGGTTTATGGTATAGGGTATAGGGTATAGGGTATAAGGAGTTTCGGGTTTAGGGTCAAGAAGCTCCCAACATCTCCTAATCCTAAACCCTACAAACCCTATTCGGCCCCAAACCCACATTGAATCCTGCAAAGACCCTGAAAACTCAAAGACCCTGAACCCTAAACCCTAAACCCTGAACCCGAAACCCGAGACCCGAAACCCTGAACCCTAAACCCTAAACCATAAACCCTGAACTCTAAACCCTAAACCCTAAACCCTAACCCTAAACCTCTGTACCCTAAAGCCCGAAGTCCTCTGAAGCGGTGACTCCGAGGGTGCCAGCCGGCGCCGTCCTGCCAATGCTGCCAAGTCGCGGGCACTTTTTTTGGTTGGGTGTAGCATTTAGGGTTTAGGGTTTCGGATCTAGGGTTTAGAGGTTTAGGGTTTAGGCTCTAGGTTGAACCGTGAAAACCACAATGTTTTTACTCCTTACTCTTGAACCCTCAACCCCGTAAATGGGTGAAGTTTGCTTTGAACTATCCCAGTTCCTTCTTCGTTTTCTTAGTAACTTTGCTCTGCTTCTGCCTCTTCTGAGAAGTGCTGCCTGGGCTTTGGCTTCCTGGGGCTTTGATAGGAAAGCCTGTACGTCCTCTATGTTGCAGTAGGAAAACTTCGATCGCCCGTAAGTTTCAAGAGGAAAACCAACGTACTCAGGAAACCATATCTGTAACGCACTCTACATTTTCATACAGAAACCCACTTTTCTAACCCTAAACCCTTAAACACTAACCCTAAACCCTAAACCCTGGACCGGCCCTGCCCCCCCGTGGCCGTCCGAGCATGCTGACGCCGAAGGCGTGCGACGAAGGCTTGCAGGATAGGTAAGGACTCATTCCTGGCACGCTTTCAAGAGCTTTCAAGACTAAGGCTAAGGCCTGCTAAAACCCTCTGAAAACATTCTTAAACAGAACCTCTTCAACCCAACATGCGAAAGAAGTGAGTTTGAGCACGCGGAGGGCTTGCTTGAGATGCTCACGGTCGGGCTGAGATTTTCGTTTCTGTCGGCGACTCTTGCCCCAGGTGCTAGGATGTTAAGTTGCCTCAATAGCCTTCCAACGATGAAACGGCAAGGATGCCACGCACAGGCTATGACTACAAACATACTGCCGCGCCCGCAGTGTCACAACATGTCATGACCTAGGTCTTCTCGGAAAAGGTGCGTGACAGCCTGTGCGCATACACGCCAGCATCAAGAGAGACCGAAGCCTTCGGAAACGGTGCCTCAGTCCGAATACTGGCAAGAGAAACATTCTCTTATCCAAGTGCTCTCTGCAGGATTGTAGGAGCACAATGTCTTCTGATGATCAGCATGCAACTAATTGAGCACTCTCATCCTGAAACCTCAGCCCTTTGGGTGAGTGGCATGCGTCTTGCATGCAGCATATTGACGACATGGCGCTTAGCTGCCAAATCCTGGATGGAGAGCAGCGATTGCCAAATTGTCTGCGCATTGGGCCTGTCGGCCTTGCAGAAAGTGAGACCACAGAAGATCAAACGCGTTCGACGGCGGCTTTGTCCACAGCAAGGTGTCATCTAGACCTAGGGAAAGGCCGCAATGGATAAGGCAGTGGTCAAGGGCGTCTGCAGCCCCAGCTCAGACTTGTGGATTTTGGGATAAGCCGATCACTTCCAGACGACTGCACGTCTTGAATGCCGCTGCTAAAGACTCTGCGCCCTCATCCGAAATTCCGTTTCGAGACAGAACTACGCATCTCACATCCTTCCACTGTTTCAAAGCACCTGCTAGGGCATTGGCACCGTCGTCTCCCATGCCAGAGAAATCTATCGTCTGAACGCTTGTCACTTGAGCGAGAGCATATGCAAATCCTTGCACGCGCGGTGCTCTGTTGCCGTGATGGCCGCAACCAGCATGTGCACGAGTGTGCACTGGTAGGTACCCTTCCACGAACCCAGGCTCCGAACAATCACTAAGTGCGGCACTGTTGCTCCAGTTTTGGCCCTGGATGCAAACCTCCTCCACATCTGTCAGGGTCGTGAGGCCCTTGGCCAGCATTGTAGCTGAAGACAACGAAACACGGCAGCATTTGTTGATCTTCAAAACCCTCAGATGCTTGAAAAAAGGCAATGACATTGCCAAAATAATGACCTCCTCTTCTTTCATCTCCCACGCACGCAACTCTCGGCGCCGGTCTGCCTGCTCTGCGAACACTTTTTCCTGCAGCTGTATCACGTGGTCTGCATCATCCCGATGCGTAAACTTCAGTGGCAAAGCCAACCGATCCTGTCCCATCATGTTCATCTCCCAATGCTCCTGATCGATCATCTTTCTTCCACGCTCCTCGCGCCATTTGAAAAGCTCAGGCGGCATTGGTGCATGGTGGCGTACGTCCTTTTTGGTGCACATCCATTGCAATGCACCAGCCACGTTGTTTGTAAGGCGTGGTGTTGAGCACCAAGTCTGTGAGGGGTCGTGGTTCTATTTGGCCCGATTCTTCCCAGTAGATGTTGATTTTGCTTGGAGGGGCTCGCTTCCGCACATGAGAAGGTGTGAGCGTCTCGACACGAAACACTCGTGTCAGACAGTCATGTGCGTAGAGCAAGTGCATTGACCTCATTGCCCGTTGGAAGTACAAATCCTGCAGATAGGAGCGCTTGTACTGCGGCAGGCAAATGAAGTCCACAAATACCCAATACTGGACGTGCTGACCATACAAGTGCCAGAACATCTTTTGACCACCTTCCATCTCTGCCACTCTTCGCTCCACATTGAACTTTTCAATCAAATGCAAAAGACCTCGGAGCTGCCAGCCCCATGGGTCAGCATGCTGTTGTGATTCCCAGGCATGCGAGAGCGAGACAATGTTGATGAGAACATTGGGTTGAGAAGGGTGGTAAAAACCGGGTGGCCTCTTTGTTCCAAAGCAGCCTTTAACAAGTGTTGGCTCCTCGTAGTATTTCAGGTCATGTATGTCCCGCAGGTGCACCAAGCCATCGGTCTCCTTTGCTCAGTTTAGCCTAGCTTCACAAGCCTGATGTTGGCCTACACTTAACAGCCGTCCGCACAACCATTCGCCGTCGGCGCGCATTTGCCGGCGCGAGAAACCACTAGAGAGCAAACCTGCCACACACACACACAGAGACAGAGAGACAGACAGAGAGACAGACAGACAACGACAGAGACACACCCGCACCCACACATACCCGCCCGCACCCGCCCGCACCCACCCACACCCAACCATCCCGAGAGCTTCGTGAACGCTTGACAAGTCAGGAGTGTCCGGTATGAGAATTTCGTCTCATTCGCAGTTGTCAAAATTGCAAGATCTCAACACAAAGTGCAGGACCATCGTTGGTTCCATTGGCATTGGCCCGTAGTATCCCATAGTCGAGGTGGCAACCTCAGCTGAGAGGAGCCTGCTGTACCAGTGTGGGAACATGCGGGATCACTGCCCCAACACATTGTCGCAGTGCTAAGCTGTCAACAAATACAACTGGCATGTAGCCTCCAGCCTGCACCGAAAGCAGCAAAGTGCTTCCCTCAACTTATTCCTTGCAGGTGCTGCGGCTGAGGCATCGGCTGCGGCGCAGAAGAAACAAAATTTTAGGGTTTAGGATTTAGGGTTTAGGGTTTAGGGTTTAGGGTTTAGGGTTTAGGCTCTGGGTTTGGGGTCTAGGGTTTCGGGTTTAGGGTTTAGGAAACTTTAGCTTCGTACACTTCTCGATTTGTGCGTGTCATCCTTGCGCAGGGGCCATGCTCGGGTTTAGGGTTTAGGGTTCAGGGTTTAGGGTTTAGGGTTTAGGGTTCAGGGTTTAGGGTTTAGGGCTTAGGGCTTAGGGTTTTGCAGGTTGGGCATGGTTCGCCCCAAACCCTCCCCAGCCCTGCATGGTTCGAGTCCTCGTTTGGTCCGCCATCTGGTCCTTGCACAAACAAACCATGCAAGTGCAGTCGCTGGAAACATCTTCACTTTGTGAAAGACGCACCGGTCTGCGGCCTTCTCGCTGCCGCTTTTTTTTCCTGACAGATGCTCACACATGCACACACAGACGCCGACACGGCCTCGTCAATCTACGTCCTGATCTGAAAACGGGGAGCCTATACCCCGGACAGAAATCAGGCGGGCCCGGGTCAGCAAAAGCAGAAAGGGGGCCTGGATCAGAAAACAAGCTTCAAGCCCGAGACCGCATGTTCGACCTGGGAAAGGTTTCTGGCGCAGCCTGTCTACGCGATTGAGTATGTGGAGGCAGCTCCAAAGGCCCACAAGCCTACCGTGATGGCATGTCTTGGAGACAAGCGTTTCATGAGACGCAGAGCTCATACACATGGATCTTGCAATTAGCCAAAGGCCTCCTCGTGGAAATGTAGAATCCCGAAACTCCACGAGGCTTGCTTTCGGCTACTGAAATTGCAGTCCACGTGCATGAACTTTGCATTTCATGAGCGCGAGTCTCCCATCACAGTAGGCCTGTAGGTCTGGGGTGCAGCTGCTCTCCACATAAATCCCAACGAGCAGACAGCTTCTCCAGAAACCTGAGCCGGGTCGAGCATCCAGTTTT